TCACAAAGACAGGCTACCAAGTCACACCACTAACATGTCTACAAGTGGCCCAATGAGAGTTTGACACTTGTCACACTTTTTCAAAAATTGCAAAATGGTCCTTCCATAAAATAATTTACAAAATAATTACAAAATGGTCCCTAAGACAAAAATAATTACAAAATATAATTACATAAAATATCACAAAAGCGTAAATGTTTCCAAAGAAACTATTCATCCATACCCCTACGGAAAAAAGTAAACAAATAGCATGTTTTTCTACAAAAGTAAGACTATGCATTTCATAGAAATAAAATAATGAAGATGCACGTGAAGTCGGAAGTCAAATCCGAACTCAAAACCCTAAGGTCACAAGAAAAGAATAAATCAAATAATTAATTACATAAAAAAAATTAATGACGAAAAATCGAAAAAGGAAGAAAAGACAGGGTCATTACACAAATTGCACTTTTAGTGGGGGCTAGCCAGCCCAGACTTCCTGACACTTTGTAATGCTTTGGTTAGCTTGGTGTTGGGTTGTTATTTGGGGGATTTGTTTTGTTTGGATATGCAGCTTCTCCTTTTGTGGGTTGTTGTGGTTGTTTTTTTCTTTTTCTTTGCAAGTGCCGTTAGGCTGTTGGTTGTTTGCCGGGTTAAAAAAAAAAAAAAAAAAAAAAAATTGGCAACATTTTCTCGGAGGGACCAAGGACTTGGGTCTAATTAAGTGGTATGTCCTTCTTCTAAATGGAAAATTGAGGATTTGGGTTCCTACTAGACAAATGGAAGTGTTTTGTGATTGTTTTTATTTTTTTATTTTTTTGACCAAAAGAATTTTTTTTTCTTTCGGAATTTTTTTTAAAAAAATTTATATATATATATATATATATATATATATATATATATATATATATATTTCTTTGGAGGAAAGTAAAGAGGTTACTACTATGCTACGTTTATATAGTTTGGTTGTAAATATGAAACACATAAGAATGGAATGATAATAAACATTATATTATTTGGTTGGACTAATTTAAAATTTAAAATAGAATAAATTTCAAATTAAATTCTCTAAAATACCCTTTTTACTACTCTTAAATAAATTAAATTAATAAAATAACATTCTTCTATAATTTTTTAAAAAGAAATGACGACGGTCAGGGGCAATTATTGATTAGCTATAGGCCAATTATTGTTTTGTAAACAAATTGGCCAAATTTTGGCTAGATATATATTGTATGCATCTAATTGATCATGAAGTACTTTTGTTTAAAATATTATTATATTATATTGGTAAAACTGTTAATACTACAGCCCCCCTTACATTGAATCTTGGCTCCACCCCTGACAGGGGCTGTGTTAAGTGCTGAAATATGCACATTTTAATCCTCATCTTAAGTATATTAGGACCTTATTTTATTTTTATTTTCCCGCTTTAGTCTTATTTTATGTTTTCCCCTTTTTCAGGTGCATAAGGTTAAAATGAGTTAACTCAGTTGATTTTGAGTCTTGGGAAAGTCAACCAAAGTCTTGGTGGAAAAACGGAGCAAAATGAAAGCTGAGATGCAAAATTTCCTCTTGGATCGATCAAACCTTCAGTGCGATCGATCACATGATCGATCCAGCAAGATTCCATGATGGATTGAAGGCCTTGTTCTTATTCAAATAAATGCCTTTGTCCTTATCCAAATAAATATTTCTCATTATTTGTGATCGATCCAACCCTTCTATGATCGATCACAAACTTTGTTCTTATCTTCATAAATATCTCAAGTCTTATCCTTATCCACATTAATGGCTGTCACCTACATGTGATCGATCGGATCACCCATGTGATCAATCGTACTTACCTCGAAAACTGTGAAAAATAGAATTGAAGCCTCAATTCAGGGGAGCTCGTGGTGCCATTATTTGGGATCCTAGTGCACGAGCTCAGACCATTTTGATGTCAGTAGAGCCACCTATATAAGGGAATTAGCCCTTTTTGGCAAGGAGGTTGGAGATTTGGCAAAGATTAGCTTAGGATTAGGATACTTCGGGACATTTTCCCTCTAGATTCATACACTATCTCTCTAGGGTTTCAACCAAGTAAAAAGAAGAAGAAGATGAGCTAAGGCTTGGATATAGATTGTAAAGCTACTTTGATGACATCCACTTTCTCTATGAGTGGCTAGTTATTCACTTAGGGCTTGGATGAGCCCTAAGCATGAGTAATTAAACCTTTGTCTTTTAATTTTGGGGATTATTACCAATAAGCATGTGGCCTAGCGGTACAAGGCCCTTACTTCCCAAAAGAAGGTCAGGGGTTCGAACCTCAGTGGAGGCAGTGTGTGTGAGTACTAATGAGCGCTGAAAAGTGCGCATTTAAACCCCTTAAGCTTAGGTATTCTAGAACCTTTATCTATCTTATTTTCCCGCTTTAGATTGATTTTATATTATTTCTATTTTCAGGTACTTATCCCTAAAATAAGCTAACTCAGCTAAATAAGAGCATAATTGAAGCAATCTTAAGATGAATCAAAGAAAGGAGCAAAGTGGGAGCAAAAGGAAGCAAGTGGTGGAAATTCAGCAAGTTCGATCGATCTCGGAAAATATTCGATCGATCGAAAGTTCATCGATCTCAGCATTTCAAAATGGATCCAAGCTTTCTTATCCCTATCCAAAGATCCCACAAAGTTAGATCGATCCAACTTTATTCCGATCGATCTGAAAGATTCCATCTTATCCACTTGTACCACCCCACCTACCAAATTTGTCTCTTTCCTAATAATATCTTCAAAATATCTCAAATTTGTTTTTATCCAAAAAGGCGCCACCATAGAGGATCGATCCAGCTTAAATTCGATTGATCTCAGCCATGTTTAATCGATCTCACCATAAGTTTGATCGATCGAACTTCCTAAATCCCGAGAAAATCCAAATTCCAGCTCAATAAAAGTTGTCTCATATCCAATCACTGAAAGGAATATTGGTATACGAGCCCAACTCATTTGGGGTGATATTTAATTTACCTATATAAGGAATATGAGCCACTTTTTGAGAGGATATACTAAAGAGTAGATAGAGACACAATTTTCATATTCTTAGTGAGGAAGAAAAGAAAGAAGGAGGCTAGAGACACAAGCTTGGAGTTCTTCCATCAACCAAGAAGAGGAGCAATCTCTACCATGGAGTTAGCTATTGAGGGTTGGAGGACACCATCCATGAGTGGCTAGACATCCTCTTGGGGCTAGAGTTAGCCCTAAGCATGCTTTCTACATCTTGATTTATGTATTTTTGAGGGGATTTGTATTGTGATAGATGTTTTGACATATTTATATACATAGATCTTGTTTATTCAATAATTTGTATGGTTTAATGCTTCCAATTGATCATTTCATTCTATCTATATGTCTATGTATGCTAGAACAGATGTTCATGTGTTTGTCTCTATTTCTTGTGTTATTGATGCATGTCTATGTGGATTAATGCTATAGATCTAGAGATTGTCAAGATATAGTGCTTAATGGAATGCTCTTTTGGTTTATTTGATGGTTCGTACTCATTTCTTGATGGATTGTGCATCTCCCTTAGTTTAATTAGTTTAATTTCATGTCATTAGCTTAATTATAGTGTAGTTGTTGTTTAGATGTTAAATGGGAGGATAATGTATGCTTGTTATTTGATGTTCCATACTTTTGAAAATAAGTAACATATATCTCTAACCTTGTGATGTGTTTAGATTGTGAGCTTAAAGAAATGATTAATGACTTAGTTTGATATATTGTGCTATCCACCATGTTGCTTAGACAATATATGCTTAATTTGTCATCCATGATTGTTGAAACAACCACACACACACACTATGTTGCAATACATGTTTTCCCCATCATTAATCATTCATTAAGGGTGTAGAAAAGATACGCTTAGTGGTGATCTCTAAATCCCAAGATCTCTCTCTTGTTTTCTCTCCATTACACTTAATTGCCTACTTTAGTTTAAATTGCATCTTAGTGTAATTTAACCGCCAACCAATCTTTTGATCACTCGACCTACTAACCCTAATCTCGATTCCATAACCTAATATGACCCACCAATCCCTTGGGACGATCCCTACTTGCCCTAACTATATTTTTAGTGAAAGGTAGCAGTGCCAATTTCTAAATGTAAAACTTGGCCACATTCATCATAGCTCTACACCATTATCTTTTGGTGCATAAACTTTGGGTTTGGGATGACAAAACACCAAGTTTTTGGCACCGTTGCCAGGGATTGATTGAAGGCAACGTCCTATTTGTGGAATCAACTACGAATTAGTACTCTTTTGATTGTGTTTTTACTTTGTTTTCATCTCGGATCTCAAATCTCATCTTCATCTCATCTCACCTCTCGGTTTGAGGCTAGATCCAAATCCCCACTTTTGATTTCAAGCTCTAATTTCATGAATCCATGCTTTAAATGTTTGATTTAAGGTGTTTTGAAGATAAATCTTGCCATTGATGAAGCTTGAAGCTATATGTGTATATATATATATATAGATTTTGTATTTTTTTTATTTTAATTTCGATTTTGGGGGTCACGGGCCATGGAAAGTGACCATTTATGTTGATTTGTTATGTAGAGGGGCCCACAAGCTTGTTTATGAGGCCCCCGTGCCATCCACGTCACAGATCTTTGACTTTTCGAGTTTCACCTCACAGTTCGATCGATCGAATTCCCGATCGATCGAACTTGCATCGATCTCACATTTTTGTGATCAATCGAACTTTACAGATTTACATCACACATTTCACACACCATCTCTTGTGTTTCATGCTATCTCATAAATGCCCAATGCCTGTGTTTTCTACATTGGATGCATTCCATACTTATACTATCTACTATGCTTCACATCATGTCACTCATTCCTTGTCACTTGCATAGATTCATGTTCCTTATTTATTTTGTCTATCTTATTTGACATACATGATTCTATCAATTGTGCTTTAATTCTTTATACTGGCACTGACTTCCTTTTTGCAAGTTTTCCTTTTATTTTACAGGCGATGGCTAGGGTAAAGACTGTTGCTCGCGGACATTATCACCATAGGGCCAGGCGGAGATTGGACGACGAGGCAGGTCCATCTCATGCCCAGAACCCCATTTATGAGTCTGAGCCAGAGCCCTCTCATATTCAGGAGGAGCCAGCAGAGCCCACTCCACCTCAGTCTCCATCTACTGACAGTCGATTACAGTCTTCAGCCGAGGCATCCTCTCCATAGGCTGACGCTGAGGCTGAGCACATACCATCTCCATCACCACCACCACTAGCTCAACCAGCCCAGCACTTAGACTGGCCATTGCTGAGATACTCACGCCTTTGAGTGGCGCCCGATTCGGTCTTTAACATAGACTACTTCTCCCGGTCTGTTCTTACTATAGTAGTATATGATGATATAGACCGGAGGGGTATCTCAGCCATACTAGCCCCTGTCACATACCCAGTGTACCCGAGGTTGGTCTGGATGTTCTTCCAGAACCTCCGACCTGCCCTAAGTAACTTGGCAGAGCTACGGACTACCATTGACAGCCATCCTATCAGTATCACGGTGGACACTCTTTCCAGATCCTGCCGTTGTCCACACGTTTGCCCTCCCGATCTCCAGGATACCTAGCCTACTCTATGGAGGCCCTCATATGTAGACATGGCCGTTGCACTCACAGGTCACTATGTCGGTGGCGAGACCTTCGCCACCCGGACTTATCTGCCGGATGAGCTGTGGTTCTTCGATTCGGTGCTATACCGAAATGTTTTCATGGCCGGCCACAAGATACAGAGGTGCGGTGACTTTCTGACAGCTTTATACGCCTTCTATACAGGGCACTGGATATCCATTCCTGCGCTTGCCTGGAGCGTTATGATGAAGCTGTATGTTGACCATATTAGCAAGGCCAAGCCCAAAAGGGCTAAGTACCTCCCATTCAGCCATCTCATCACACAGATTCTGAGAGACTAGCGCTATCCCTTCCAGCCACGGGAGCGTACTGAGTCTGGGGTCTGTTCATTCAAGAAGAAGGATTGGGATAAGAGCTACCAGGCTCTTATCAAGAGTCTACAGGACGACACTGTCGAGGCAGCTGAGGAGCTAGAGAGAAAGGAGTTGGAGCAGGCAGCGGCAGCAGCAGCAGAGCAGGCGGCGGACGATATACCAGTCAATTCGCCTGCCATGCACATGGAAATTGACTTGAAGTAACCCGCAGAGGACTAGGAGCATCACTCTCCAGTTGGGTCACCCATTCATAATGAGGAGCAAGCTCAGGATCATCATTTTCCCGTTTCAGCTGTACCTAAGGCTCCAGCACAAACACCCGGCTTTGGAGAACGCATCCAGGCTTTAGAGGATGCCGTTATCTCTATCCGAGTAGACACTATCTCTATCCGAGTTGACATTACTTCACACTGTACGGATGTCATTGCTGCATTACGTGATCTATCCAGAGACATCCGCGGAGCACGCTCTGCTCGTCCTACCTCCTTTTCATGATTTCCATATCTTCTTACTCCTCTTATATATCTGTGATATCTGCATATTTTTGATACTGTTATAATATTTTTGCGTTCAGTTTGTTGGCCTTGATATCTCACTGGATGTACTGTACTTTATTTTGTTTTTCTATTTTATCCATGATCTTTTGGATGTCATATTCTTCTATTGATATATCTATATGTGACTGACTCTATCAAGTGCATCCTAGTGACTTCAGTAAGAGAGAGTACTACCCAAAATTTTCAGGACCACCCTTATACCTTTCTCTATTTTCAATTGCTATCCCATTTACACTTGTATGTCCACTGTGCACTATTATTATCCCTTTTTGTTATCTGATGATTTTTATTCAAGTGCCAAATTTTCAGGACCACAGTTAATCCCAAGTTTGGGGGGGCTATGCCACCTACTTTGGATACTTCTGTCCCGGCTATTCTTTGCTATAGTTGCACTGGTATACTCTTTCCTTTTGTTCTCTTTACACATTGAGGACATTGTGCCTTTTAAGTTTGGGGGGGTAATGGTGTTAATTGTAGTATTTGCTCTCAATTCAAAAAATTTAGCATGACTTGTGTATTTGAGGAATTTTTTATGATTGGTCCATAACTAGCTATGATTTTGATCTTTTGAGGACTATATTGCTTAAAATTAAAAAATTGCTTAACTTGAGAATCCAATACTTTTTGTACGCCTTGTGGATGCCATTTAGGAGTAAATTTTTCGAAAGATTGATATCATGCTTGCACTTGTGGTCCACATTATCCTGATTTTATGATTGTTTTGAGATTCACTCTAGTATTCTACACTAGCACAGGTGCACACTAGCATTCATTTGTGGGGTACATGCTTTGTTGATTATTGAATTGGTTATATCCCAATTGGGCTACTAGTGCATTGAAAGCTTTCATTCTTGATAAAGGTGGATAACAACCCCTTTTCACTAAGTAGCCAGGATTCTAGCCTCATCAAGCACTAAACTTCTCGTGCCGAAATGTGGAGGGCCCAAACTCTAGGTTAATAAATGAACTTGTTTATTCAAAAAAAAAAAAAAAATTACAAAAATAATAAAAAGTGAGGACTTCTCACAAAAGGTGAGAAGTGGGAGATGATTAGATGGTGGTTGTCTTGATTTGTAGCCTAGTTGATTTGAGCTTGTAAGTCCTTAGGGGTGTTTGAACACTTAGTGCCCTAAAGCCGTCTGGTTTGGGAGTCATTGACCTAACGCTCGACCTCATGAATCGCTAGAAATCTTAATAGATCAACACATTGTATCATGCTTCCATCCTTGATTCTATAAAAAAAAAAAAATTAAAAAAAAAATCGAGTGAAAAGAATTAGCGCAACTAGATCAATAAAACTTTAATAAAAGGTCCAATCATTGTCTTGATGATCGGTACTAGATTTGTGTGCTTGTTTAAGGGTAAGGATGTGATCATTTCTTTAGTTGGCTAAGATAGCAACATACTTGATGCTAGTCCGCTCAAAAAGGATTCTAGAGTTGTTTTGATTTGCATGATTATTTTCTTGATGTGTGAAGGACCATACTTGCTTGCTTGATGTTAAAATTTTGGGAGATTACTTGAAAAGGGTTGAAAAATTGTATACTTGAGGTAGTTTTCTCCCAATGCTTGTTTGCAATATTGGTGCCTCTTTTGAAAGAATGAGCTTAATGTTTGTGGGTATCATTTCTGGTAACCCTCACAAGACTTTACTCGTCCACTAGGGGTAACCTAGGGGTTTAAAAGACTTGTTGCATATGCTAAATGTAATCGTGTTCCCTACGAAAATGGCGTTATCCATTTATTGCTTTCTAGTTCATAGTTGTACAGTTGTTCATTTCAGTCCTTTACTTTCTAGTTCATTGCTAGGGACTAGCAACATTTAAGTTTGGGGGTGTGATGAGCGCTGAAAAGTGCGCATTTAAACCCCTTAAGCTTAGGCATTCTATGACCTTTATCTATCTTATTTTCCCGCTTTAGATTGATTTTTTATTATTTCAATTTTCAAGTACTTATCCCCAAAATAAGCTAACTCAGCTAAATAAGAGCATAATTGAAGCAATCTTGAGATGATTCAAAGAAAGGAGTAAAGTGGGAGCAAAAGGAAGCAAGTGGTGGAAATTTAGCAAGTTCGATCGATCTCAGAAAATATTCGATCGATCGAAAGTTCATCAATTTTAGCATTCCAAGATGGATCCAAGCTCTCTTGTCCCTATCCAAATATCGTACAAAGTTCGATCGATCCAACTTTATTCCGATCAATCGGAAAGATTCCATCTTATCCACTTGTACTACCCTACCTACCACATTTGTCTCTTTCCTGATAATATCTTCAAAATATCTCAGATTTGTTTTTATCCAAAAAGGCACCACCATAGAGGATCAATCCAGCTTAAATTCGATAGATCTCAACCATGTTCGATCGATCTCACCACAAGTTCGATCAATCGAACTTCCCAAATCCTGAGAAAATCTAAATTCCAGCTCTTTAAAAGTTATCTCATATCCAATCATTGAAAGGAATATTGGTGTACGATCCCAGCTCATTTGGGGTGATATTTAACCTACCTATATAAGGAATATGAGCCACTTTTTGAGAGGATATACTTAAGAGTAGATAGAGACACAATTTTCATATTCTTAGTGAGGAAGAAAAGAAAGAAGGAGGCTAAAGACACAAGCTTGGAGTTCTTCCATCAACCAAGAAGAGGAGCAATCTCTACCATGGAGTTAGCCCTTAAGGGTTGGAGGATACCATCCATGAGTGGCTAGACATCCTCTTGGAGCTAGAGTTAGCCCTAAGCATGCTTTCTACATCTTGATTTATATATTTTTGAGGGGATTTGTATTGTGATATATATTTTGACATATTTATATACATAGATCTTGTTTATTCAATGACTTGTATGGTTTAATGCTTCCAATTGATCATTTCATTCTATCCATATGTCTATGTATGCTAGAATAGATGTTCATGTGTTTGTCTCTATTTCTCGTGTTATTGATGCATGTCTATGTGTATTAATGCTATTGATCTAGATATTGTCAAGATATAGTGCTTAATGGAATGCTCTTGTGGTTTATTTGATGGTTCATACTCATTTCTTGATGGATTGTGCCTCTCCCTTAGTTTAATTAGTTTAATTTCATGTCATTAGCTTCATTGTAGTGTAGTTATAGTTTAGATGTTAAATGGGAGGACAATGTATGCTTGTTGTTTGATGTTCCATACTTATGAAAGCAAGTAGCATATATCTCTAACCTTGTGATGTGTTTGGATTGTGAGCTTAAAGAAATGATTAATGGCTTAGTTTGATATATTGTGCTATCCACTATGTTACTTAGACAATATATTCTTAATTTGTCATCTATGATTGTTGAAACAATCACACACACACACTATGTTGCAATACATGTTTTCCCCCTCATTAATCATTCATTAAGGGTGTAGAAAAGCTATGATTAGTGGTGATCTCTAAATCCCAAGATCTCTCTCTTATTTTCTCTCCTTTACACTTAATTGCCTACTTTAGTTTAAATTGTATCTTAGTGTAATTCAACCACCAACCAATCATTTGATCACTCAACCTACTAACCCTAATCTCGATTCCACAACCTAATACGGCCCACCAATCCCTTGGGACGATCCCTACTTGCCCTAACTATATTTTTAGTGAAAGGTAGCAGTGGCAATTTCTAAATGTAAAACTTGGCCACATTTATTATAGCTCTACACCATTATCTTTTGGTGCACACACTTTGGGTTTGGGACGACACAACACTAAGTACCAACTAGGAAATTTTTGGGGATTATTAATTGTAATTAGTGCTATGGTCTTGTGAACTCAAACTTAGTTGTACCAAGGTTTATATTGATAATTATTTCTATTCATTCTATATGTTGGTTGCATGTTGTCTTATGTGTAATTAATTGAGGATTAATCTCTACACTAAGTGTTCTTTGTAATTGTGCTTAGTGATGGTTACGTATGGTATTTGTTGGATACAATTGTCAATTAGTTTGATGGGTTATGCTTAGTCTTGATAGGTTGTAGTACACTTTAGTTTAATTGTAGTTAGGAGATAATTCATGCTTGAATTTCATAGTCTATGCTTATTATTGCAATTTGTATTATCTTCTTGATTGATGTGTGTTTGAAGCCACATTTTGATTACAATAAGTTTTCCTCATTAATTGAAGACTCTTGGTTTAGTTGCATGTGCTTAGTGGTGCATTCCATGCCCTAAGCCTCTCTTCCAATCTCTAAACTCTATTTAATTTAGTGTTAACTTCAATTGCATGTTCACAATAGTATAATCAATTAATCAATCATCCTTTCAATCTCACGCTCACTAATTTTAAGTTAGATTCCACACCATAATCCCTGTGGACGATCCTTTCTCACTTTATACTCATGTATAAGTGTTTTGTAGCTTTTGTAAATGTAAAAGTTGATACCCACTTAGCACTCTTAATTCTAAATATTTAAACACATTTTTGTTGGACAAAGAGAGCATCATGTTTTTGGCGCCGTTATCGGAGATTAAATGGTTTTTAATTTGGAATTAAATTAGACATTGGAATGGAATGATAATAAACATTATATTATTTGGTTGGACTAATTTAAAATTTACAATAGAATAATTTCAAATTAAATCCATGCTTCATAGTCTTTTAATTTGATTTCCTCTTTCGCATGATTTTCTTTTAATTTGGTTTTGACCTGATTATTTTCTCCTCTCTTTTAATTCAGGTGATCATCCTAAAGATGTCAAAGCAAGACTCAAATACTTAATGTAGTGTTGTCAATGTCGAAACTTGGAAAACAAATTATAAGCCCATGGACTTGACTGTCACGGTACACTAACTCCATCTAATTACGTTGTCGTTGTCTTATGCACATTGCACATGCAGACATTTTCAAGATATAAAGTGTTTAGACACTTCATAGGCGCACAATTTGTTATTTAGACAGGTGCATAATTTATTGTTTAGACATGCGCACAATTTATTGTTTAGAAACTTCACAGGCACACAATTTATTGTTTAGACACTTCACAGGAGCACAATTTATTCTTTAAACTCTTCACACGCGCACAATTTATATTGTATACTCTGCACATGCGAACAATTTATTTTGTATACTTTGCAAAGGCGCACAATTTATTTTTTAGACACTGCACAGGCGCACAATTGTGGGTGATAACTTTTTATATTTTAAATTAGTTGTTTTAAATGCAATGAGGACGCAATATTATTTTTACTCAATTATATTCATTAGGAATTTAGAATCGATGGTTTAAATTACAATGTAAAACCCTAGATATTAAATTTTATATTTAAATTACCCTCTTTAGGTACAGTGTTATACGATGGTAAAGCCAAAAAGAACAATTGACGTTTTTTTTTTATAAAAAAAAAATGATGTGCCTTCCGCGGCTTCCGCCTCTAATGTTGATGTTTCGGTTCATGATAACCAGCTTTCTCCAAAATCTCCAAGAGTTGAACATACAAAAGTTGATCGTACCTTTTTAGAACGTTATCCAGGATTACGTCGTCAAATATGGGATTATCCTGTTGAAAAACGTGATGAAGTTCATCGAGCTTATATCAAAGCGAAAGCATACCAAATTATGCTTTCAGAATATCCGCTTTCTGGATTGGAAAAACATCCTCGTTGGTTTCTATCATCTTGGTTTAAATTATTTCTTACCTGGTTAGAGTATTCTCCTTCAAATGATGTTGCATTTTGCTTACCTTACGTTCTTTTTGGAGCGAAGCCAGCGGGGCATCCCAAAACCAATGCATTCACTAGTGAAGGATTTCGAAGTTGGAAGAAAGTTAATAATGGCAATAAGTGTGCTTTCTTAAATCATATGGGAGGAAGTCCATGTTCTGCTCATAACATTGCTAAGAGAGCATGTAAGGACTTAATGAATCAACCTTGTCATATTGATACAGTAATGGTTGGACAAACTTCTGAACTAGTTTAAAATAACCGATTAAGATTGAAGGTCACAATTGATGCAGTCCGATGGCTTAATTATCAAGCTTGTGCTTTTAGAGGGCATGATGAATCCCTTCAATCAAGTAATCGAGGCAATTTCATTGAAATGGTAAAGGCTTTTGTGTCATATAATGATGATGTTGCTAAAATTGTTCTTGAAAATGTTCCAAAAAATGCCAAATATACCTCACCACAAATTCAAAAGGAGATTTTGCATATTATTTCTACAAAAGTGAGAAGTAAGTTTCGTGAAGATATCGGCGATGCCAAGTTTTGTATTCTTATTGATGAAGCTCGTGATGAATCTAAAAGAGAGCAAATGGCTCTCGTTTTAAGATACGTTGATAAGGATGGTTTTTTACAAGAACGTTTCTTTGATCTTGTGCATGTTAAAGTTATAACTTTATTGAATTTAAAAAATGATATTTGTGCGGTTCTTTCTCACTATAATCTTGATGTTCACAAACTCCGAGGTCAAAGTTATGATGGTGATGGAAATATGCGTGATGAATGGAATGGTTTGCAAGCATTATTTCTTAATGATTGTCCTTATGCATATTATGTGCATTTCTTAGCTCACCAACTACAACTAGCTTTAGTTACAACATCTAAAGAAGTAATCGCCGTCCATTAATTCTTTTCAAAGTTGAACTTCATTATCAATAGTATCAGAGCTTCTTGCAAACGAATTGATGAATTACATTTTGCTCAAGTTACGGAAATTGCCCATTTGATAGATCTTGATGAACTTGAAATTGGCCGAGGAGCTAATCTGTGATACCCCTCAATTCTAAAGCCACGAGTGATCAAGTCTGAGCACAGATCCGAGGGATACCAAACAATTAAGTATGTAAATGAACACATAATACAAAAGAAAATAACTAAGACTAAATAAAATAGCAGAAAAGAAAACTAAATAATAACTCCTCCAAATGAATTATCCAAAACCTTAAATTATCCTTACAAGTTGGGAATCCATCTAGTGGACCCCTAATGATAATCTAACTAAAACAACTGAAAATAAACATAATCTAAAACTAAAACATAAAGAGAGTCCTACATAGAATCGGAAGAATGATGTGGACTGTCTCTGCTCAGCACGAACAAACTCTATGTCTGGAACTGACGAGCACCTAAAAAATAATAGTGGGTCAGGTCCACGAACAACTTCTTTCTACGACAACCCAAACAGAGAGCAGAGAAACTATATATCTATAGCTAACCTATGCAATAGCTAAGTAGTCCGTAATATATATACACACTAAAGGAACCTCACCAGACTGTAGGGTTGTCTCAACCTGAATAGTAGGCAACATGCAAGACGCACATATAGTGGGTATGAGTACCTAGAGCTACCAGGGAACAACTACACTATATCTAGCTACACATCCCTGGCAATATACGCACCCTAGTCATGATCCTGAGACTCAAGCTTATATCATGGCATATGTCTATATATATACATCCAATCTAAATTAATCCACTACGTATCATCCAACTTATTCAGTTGACCTGACACAAATATAAGTAGGACTTAACATTTTAGTTAATCCGTTCCCTTATAAAATAGGTAGGACTTAACTGATAAGTTAATCTATCCCTAGAGTGCCACCATCCCATACTGGTGCACTACATCAACATAATCCAACAGTTGATGTAATAATTAAAAGAGTACATCAAATAATTTAGAATAAACATAATAATATAATATCATGTCATCACAAAATAGGAATGACTTATAAAATTATTTAAGCTTCCTACATCACACATCTTGCATATACTGAATCTTAACAGACTGATATTTTATTATACAATCATGTAAGCATTCTTCATATACCATTAAAGCTATACATTTAATCTTATTTGTTAGAACAAACTAAAGACTAAAATCCATTTATTCCTTAAAGAATTAAATAGCATGCATTGATATATTTAAATTTGTTTAAAATTTATTTAAACTCATTCCTAGTCCTTATTTGATGTTCAGGACTCCGCAAATTCAATAAAAAAAAAAAATACAACGCTGTTTCCGAAACTTCTCCAGGTAAGGCTCGAGCTTTTGTCCCAATTGCTCTAGCACCCTACTTCAAACTCGAGCATCCTACTTCAGGCTTGAACCTTTCCTTTAATTGCTCGAGTTTTCCTTCTTAGGCTTGAGCTTTACATCCAATTGCTTGAGCTTTTCCTTACAGGCTCGAGCTTTTCATCCATGGCTCGAGCTTTGTCTCCAAGGCTCGAGCACTGTATCGACGACTCAAATCCTGTTTACGCGATTCAACCCAGAATTCCATTGTGAACCCAAATATTTATTGTTTAAGGATTCAAAGGCATGTTTCTAGGTTACATCAATATACAGATATGAAAATACTTTATGTAAAACATGTAACAAAACATAAAGTAATCAAATCAAATCATGAATTTATCAATTTATACACAAGAACAACCATGAAAAATATAATTTAAAAACCTTTATTCAAGATCAATTAAATTATAATTTCAGTTTTAATGGTTCTTTAAATAATCCTAAGATTAAACTAGAGATATAAATTTCACAGATCAAAGGAGAAGTATAGAATAAGAACTTGCCTTTAGGGATTTAATAAAAACCCTAACCTCCTTCTTCTTCTTCCTCTTCCCTCTTCCTCCTTTTTCCTCCTTCTTTCTCTCTCTCTTTAAAATATACGTGAGCCCTTTTTCCAACCCTATAGTTATATATTTATAGGCTGCATATTAACCCTATTCCTTATCCCAATTCACATTCAATTAACAAAGAAAAAAAGGTAACTAAAAATATAAGTTACGTATAATCTATGTAAATTATTTTTGGCTAAATAAAATAAATACATTAGATTATCTCAAAAGGACTTTCCTTATATATATATATATATATATATATATATATATATATATATTATTTAATTATATGTATATACATATACACTATCCACGGTAATTATCTATACCCATTAAACCCCTTATCCAAGTAGTCCATGGAACCCAATTAGTTGGACCATGACTACTATCCATAACCTTTAAAATAAATAAAAAATAAAAAAATAAAAAAACCATTTAAAACATTTAATTCCTAACCATTATTTTTAAAGAAAACACCTAACATTTAAGTAAACAAACACACATCATTAAACATGTATTTCAAAGAAACACATAATCAATTAATTCAAATAAACAATTAACAAATAGCCAAGAAATCAATGAAAGGATAAAAAACACAATTAAAACAATTAATAAATCAATTAAAGAATAAAAAACACAATTAAAACAATTAATAAATCAATTAAAGAATAAAAAACACAATTAAAATAATTAATGAAATACCGAGATTATCCTTTTAAAATTAGGAGTATTACATTCTTCCCCATTAACAAAAGGAATTCCGTCCTTAGAATTCGTCTTTACCTTCATCCATTATATCTGGAAAAGTTGAGCGAATGACGTCCTCCCATTCCCAAGTAGATTTAGCCTCATTGTGATGACTCTACTGGACACGTACCAAAGGGATGACCTTATTACGAAGAATTTGATCCCTACGATCAACAATACGATATGTTTGTTCCACATAGGTGGCATCCGGCTGCAACTCAATCTCACCAACATCAATATGCTGATAACGATCTGTATCGCGAAGAAATTTCCATAACATGGAAACATGGAACACATTGTGGACATGATTTAAATGGTCTGGAAGTGCTAAGCAATAAGCCACCGGTCCAATTCGATCCGTAATCATAAAAGGACTGACAAAACGTGGTGACAACTTTCCTTTTTTTCCCAAAGCGCATTACTCATTTCATATGAGACACTTTGAGTAAAACCTGATATCCCACCTGAAACTCCAAAGCATGAGTACAACGATCTGCATAACTCTTTTGCCTGCTCTGGGCAGTACGCATACGATCCTTAATAAGAGGAATCTTTTAAGGGGTGTCCTTAATGAACTCAGGACCCAAAAATCTGCTCTCACCAACCTTCATCCTATAAACAGGAGATCTACAAGGTCAGCCATATAAAGCCTCAAACGGTGCCATACCAGTAGTCTTCTGAAAGCTATTGTTATATGCAAACTCCACAAGTGGCAAATAGTCCTCCCAATGACCCTTAAAGTTAAGAACACAAGAACGAAGCATATCCTCCTTGATCTGATTAACCCTCTCGGTCTGTCCATCAGTCTAAGGATGGTAAGCAGTACTAAGATGCAAGTCGGCACCCAAAACCTGCTGAAAACTCTTCCAGAATCCCGAAACAAAGCTCGAATCCCTAACGGATATAATAGATAACGGTATGCCATGCAATTTCACAATCTCTATTATGTAAAGTCTCGCCAACTGTTTTGAAGTGTAATCAGTGCGAATAGGCAAGAAATAAGCTGATTTGGTCAACCTATCAACGATGACCCAAATGGAATTGTGATCCTTAAATGAATTCGGCAATCCCTTAACAAAATCCATAGAAATGCTTTCCCATTTCCACTTTGTTATAGGTAGTGGCTGTAGAGAACCTGGTGGTCTCTGATAATCAATCTTGATCATCTGACAAGTACTACATTGAGAGACAAAAATAGCAATGTCCTTATGACAACCCTGGTTTTTCAAGCTAGTGCGTCTTATGATGAACCTCAGATTGACTCGATAACGGATCCGAGTGTGGAAGTAAAAATAGAAAACAAGACTCTAAAAAGTTAAAGTGACCTTCCATGAGGTCGTGGAACTCAATGAGAACTGATGCGGAAGCAAAAGATCAAAAATATGAAAAATAAGTCCCTAGGGGAAAAATGATAATTTTCTAAAAAAATGAATTCGGGTGCCACCGAGCACACCGCTGGAAAGACAACGAAAAACTAATCAAGATGGACTCAAGAATCACATAATTCGGAGTTCGGATGAAAGAGAAACGGCTTGATGAAGAAAAACGAGCACTTAAGGCTAAAAGGGTAAACTGATAAATTTTCAAGAAGATCCAGGTGTAACCGAGCACACCGTTGGAGTGAAAAATTAGTCAAGTTCAATAAAAAGTTCACTCGATTTGGAGTCCAGACGAAGGAGAATGACCAAAAACAAGAATCAACGTCACGACGTCGAAACGAGCACCCCACGAGCATCTTGACATGTTAAGGAAGAAAAAAGGCTAAGCTAGAACTGAGAGCCGAAACGAGGTTCGAAACGACTTTTTCTGGAAAAATACAAAGAAGAAATCCTCTCTAAAATTGAGTTTTCTACCCAACTCCGTGGAAGATAATGAAAAAAACTCACTGTAAAATACCTAAAATGCCCCTAGATCAGAAGAGGTCAAGAGGGCCAAAAAGAACTGCTACAGTAACTGTCCACATCTGAGAGCAGAAACGGGCTATAAAACGAATTTTTATGGAAAAGCACGAAGAAGAAACCCCTCCCGAAATCAAATTTTCTACCCAGCAACCTGGCAAAAAATGAAAAAAACATATTGTGAAGTGGCCAAAATGCCCCTAGATCAGTAAGGGCTTAAAAACTCTAAAAAGTGCAACTTTTCACTAAGTATGCATTTGACCCTAAATGCATTTCTAGGTTGAAACGAATGTGCACATAAATGTAATAAATGATTCTGAGCGCACGGGAATGGTTCGCGGCTCCCGAGAAGCCC